GAGGAGGAGGAAGAGGAGGAGGAGGAAGAAGAGGAAGAGGAGGAGGAGGAGGAGGAGGAGGAAGAAGAGGAGGAGGAAGAGGAGGAGGAAGAGGAGGAGGAGGAAGAAGAAGAAGAGGAGGAGGAGGAGGAGTGTGATGACCCGTAGTCTCTCAAAATAACCCCAAACCCAAAACATACATTAAAGTCCGGTAATGCCTTCAACTTAACTTCACTGTTTTATTAGGCACAGTTTAAAGTCACAAAAGTAAATAATGAGGCAAAAAGAAAACCAAAACAAACCGCATTGACGAGAGTTCCAAAGCAAGCCAAGATAATTAATCATACATTCCAGGAAGATAACTGAGGAGAGTCCATGGGAAAGAACTCCAGCAAAGATAAACCTCTTTCAAAGTAAACACTAAACTTTGACTCCAACAATTCTGACTATGCAGTTACAAACTTATATACATAGCTCCCAACTGCAAGCAATGAGGAGGATCATGGTAATCTCCTCTTGAGTAGACCTCGCTTTTCCCTGATCCTCTCTTCCCTGCGTGACCTAGGATGGATAGGGGATGGGCCTGGATCCTCCTCTGATTGCTCAGCCGGCCTCTGCCCTTCCCCAGTCTCCTCCACCACCTCTGGAGCCACACTCCCACTCCCTGTTGGCTGTTCCGACTCTTCCTCAGAGTCAGTCTCCACCAGGGGCATGACACTATCCCCCCCGCATGGCCCCCTCCCCTGGGACCAGGCGGACGAGGACGTTGAGGAAACCGAACATGAAAGTCCTGGACCAAACGAGGAGCATGAACATCATTGGCATTGACCCAGGTGAAGTCCTCTGGTCCATAACCTTTCCATGCCACAAAATACTGAAATTGGCCTCTCAACTGGCATGAATCTCAGATGCTATCCACTTTGTACTCCTCCTCTCCTGGAGGGGCTACTGGGGCCGGCTGTGATGGAGCCGGTCTATGTGGACTGTCGGTCGAGGCAGGGAGAGACAATAAGCCACAGGATTGATCACCGCCTCGACCAGAAAAGGTCCCAAGTAACAGTGATTGAGCTTTTTCGATGGTCGCGTCGTTGGTAAGTATCGAGTAGAGAGCCAAACCCGATCGCCTACCGCTAAAGGCAAAACATTGCAACGATGTTGGTTTGCAAACCATTTATAGTCCTCCTTGGCTCTCTCTAGTTGATCGCGGACCATGTGGTGCATGGCTTTTAACTCCTGCAAGAACATATCCACTGCCGGAACTGAGGAATCAGACGGGGCTAAAGAAAAAAGTCGTGGATGAAACCCATAGTTAGCAAAGAAAGGAGGCACACAGGTGGATGCATGTTGAGCATTGTTGTAAGCGAATTCTGCCACCAGCAGCACTTCCACCTAATTGTCTTGTTGAGTATTGCTGAAACAGCGGAGGTACTGCTCCAAAATAGTATTCACTCTCTGTCCCCCCATCAGTTTCAGGGTGATGAGCAGACAACAGACACGCCTGAACCTGCAGTTTCACGAGTAGGGTCTGCCAGAAGCGTGCCGTAAATTGTACCCCCGATCCGATACCATGCAGTCTGGTAACCCATGCAACCGGAAAACATGGGAGATAAACAATTGAGCCGTTATCTTGGCCGATGGAAGACCCGGACACGGAATAAAGTGGGTCATTTTAGTCAACATATCCACCACCACCAAAATGGTTGTGGCACCATTCGATGGTGGTAACTCAATGATGAAATCCAATGAAACTGCCCCCCATGGTCATTCTGGCGTGGGCAAGGGCTGCAAGAAACCAGGGGGCGCACCAGGAGCATACTTGCCTTGGCGACAGATCCCACAGGATGCCACATATCCTGACACATCATGTTTAAGTCTCGGCCACCAAAATGTCCTAGAGATGAGGTGCAGTGTTTTGAACACCCCAAAGTGTCCTGCCGCCGGACTATCATGACATTGACGTAGGATAAGGCTACGAAGAGGACCTCCAGGCATGTAAATGCGATCACGGAACCGCAACAGGTCCCCAATATACGCCCAAGGAGTCTCTTGTCTCCCATTCTCATCCAATTCTCGACGTCAAGCTGCCACAAATGGGTCCTGACGCTGTGCCTCCTGAATCCTCACTCGGAGGTCCACAGGTTCCTCGGTGGCCGCAAACCGTTCCAACAGAATCACCATCCAGGGCAAGATTTTATCCTCCCTTCGGGTATACTTGGGCTTCCGAGATAGAGTGTTGGTGGGTTGATTCCCTCCACTCGGAACATAGGTCACCCGGAAATCAAATCGAGCAAAGAATAAGGACCATCTCACCTGACGCTGGTTCAATGTCTGAGCTGTACGTAGGTGTTCCAAATTGCGATGATCCGTCCGAACCTCGATTTGGTGACAAGACCCCTCCAGGTGGTGCTGCCATGTCTCAAAAGCGACCTTAACCGCCAATAGCTCCTTGTCCCAAATCGTATAGTTGCGCTCTGGTGCCAACAACTTCTGGGAATAATAAGCTCACGGGAACAAGGTGCCTGTGGGAGCATAGGCCTGGAGGAGCACCGCACCAACAGTGTCAGCCTCAAGATATCTTTCTATTAGTATATTCTGTCTTCTGATATCTTCCTATTAGTATATTATGTCTTCTAACTATTGCATATCTGCTGCTATGCTAATTTACTTCTTTCGGCTGTCATGAAACGGTGGGAGGGGGGAATCTTGGAGGGGAAGAAGGCAGGAGGTGTTTTGCATTCCTTTGCTGGCTTAGCAAGGGGAGGGGGGATTCTTTTCTTTAACTTTCCATTTCTTCGCTAGCCTCTGTCCCTTTTTGCGCAACTGCGAACTTTTATCAAAATATGTCAAGGTCAACTGACAATAGCCTCATCACCACCTGGAGATGACCACATGATCATATTCAGAAGTTTTAATTGGAAGAATCATTTGAACTTTGGGGGGTGGGAGCAATTCTATTCCTTTGTATATGTGTTCTACCCGCCAATTTCTTAGTTTCGGAATTGGCTCTGTCGTTTCCACTTTATCTCCCAGTAAAAGAATAATCCTACTCTACACCATGGAGTCTGAGTATTTCTTTCTTGGGATTTAGAGGGAGCACAGTCTGACATTATTCCGAAACTCCTAAATAACCTACCCGGAGAAAACAGCAACTTTTCTTCCGAGGGGGTTTCATCTCATGTCGTCTCCAGCCAGAGATGAAGATGACCAGGGAGCTGCGGGGGGGGGCAGCCGATGCTGCTACCAGAGATGCCGTCTGCTGACCTATTGGCCGACCTGACTCTGGAAGAAACCCCAGCTGAGATACCCAGATGGTCGTTGGGGGTTGGTTGGAGAGATCTTGAAAACCCCCCTCCTCCCAGAATCACTGTAAGACAAAGAGGTGCGAGGGAACGGCTATGGCAAGAGGGGGAGGAGATGGAATGCAGGCTGGATCAAGGCGGCAGATTCCTTATGGATGTTTCTGAAAAGCCCGGCACAGCTCCAAGGTATGAGGGGGAAGAGGGAGCGAGGTCAGCCAGGGGAAGTCGAGCTACCCCCACCCCCCTAGTCCAGCCTACGCCGGCGCAGCCGCCCGCTACCGCTCGGGGAGCCCCAGCAATAGGGGTGCTTCCTGGAAGACGCCACCTGCCTCCCTTAGATGTGAAATTTGGAGGAAATCCCAGAGACTTGGGGTTTTTCCTGGTACAAGTTGGAAGCTATATGGCAGAATTTGAAAGGGA